GTCAGATTGATATGTGCATGGATTGAATAAAATAAGTATAAGTATTTATATGGATCACATATTTAATTTCATTCGATTTTGTGTTAAGTGTCCTCCAATTATCCTGCGTCTATTGTATCGACAGGTTATTGTACGTATAGTGCCAAAATTATTAGAGAAGGCCGTTTATTACGTTTCTTTTTTAGTTTCAATTTTCTATCCTCATCCTCAAAGCCGGTGTGTTCTCCGTCCTCTACCATTCCTCTTAAATTCTCCAACTCCACGGTAGAACATAATTAAACGATTTTTTTAATAAAATTTATAACTTTGCCACTTCTCTGCAATTGTTTGGAATATATTTTTATATTTTTTTTTCGAAAATTGCGTTAAATTGCTTCAGTTCCAATTCCCCATTTCCTGAGGTTATTTTTGGAATGCTTTATTTCACAATTATCAAATTTGTTCCATGTCTCTGCACAAAATAAACGTGTTAAAATGTTATCGATAAATAACATTTGTTTCACTCATCATATGATTAATTATGTCCTTTCTTTCTCTTTTGTTATCACTCTCCACTCAAACTCTCATCAACAATTATCACCTTGTTTTCATTTCTTTTTAATTTTTATTTTGCTAATTTCGATCATATTCTTCAATCAAACATGTCAAAACAAAACAAACAAAAAAACTAGAGATATTCATGTCCCTCTCTAACCAATTGGAAAAGTAACTATGACAATGTAAGACTGCAACAACAGCAACAACAAATGCAATATCATCAGGAACAACAACAACATGAATATAATAATCATTACAATGAATATAAAGAACACATCGATACATTTTACCAAACGAAGGCTGAAATAAAATTTCATGATCCTTGGGAAGATTACTATAGGAAGCAGGAGCGAGAGGCCGAAATGCAAAGGCAACGAGAAGAGGCTCAGCGCATTATAACACCCGAGCCAGAAAATCATTACAATGCAAACAACAACAATACACATTATCATCACCAAGAAACATATGGTGAGAATAATTCTCAGTGCTATTATGAAGAGTCACAGAGTACAAGAGATAATAATCACGAGGAAGAGAGATATGAGTGGCACAATGAATATGAAAATCACAGAGAGCCAGAGAGTAGTAATGACTATCACATTGAAATAGTTCCTAATCAAGAGCATAGTAACAACAATAATAATTCACATTATGAGTACAGAGAACAAGAACATGTAGAAGAAGAGCATGTCTTTTATGAAGAGAACAAAGACTGTTATGAAGAACAGCATCATCGTAATCACGATGATGATTATCAAGAGAGAGTAGTAAATTATTCCCATGAAGAGAACAAAGAATATCCAAATAATGAAGAGTGCCAGTGTAACACAGAGGCTGAACTAAATAATTCCATATTGCATTCAAATGACAATAACGATAACGACATTATGAAAACCAAAAATATCGATAATACTGCCAATGAAAATATCACACCTCAATCGCCAACAAGTGATAATGCAGCCGGCACAACAGATGATCTGTCAAAAAATCAAGAGGTAACCCCAGTGTGTACCCACATCTCCTCCATACAAGTATTGAAAAACTAAAGTTGATGGCACTTCGTTAGTGATGTTCATACAATACAGTCATATATTCCATAAGCATTTTAGTGTTGTATAAATGCAAAAAATGACGTTGAAACCATTTCGATAACATGCGATAAATTTAATTTAAGGGCAAGGATATTTTGATTTGTTTTCATAGGCGAATATATGGTTGATGGTTGGTTGATGGTTGTTTAAAATTTTCATCAACTGCTGAATATTCGAATATAAATTAAAGAAAAAAAATAAATGTAAATTTCGATAACTCTCGATAAATTGAATAGTTTGGATTTGTTGACAATAAGATTCAGTGAATTAGCGGACTTGTTTCGATTTCGTAAAATTGTGTAATTATTGAAACAAATCGAAGCGCAAAGCGCAAAAATTCGGAATTGTGATATTTTAGGAGATTTTAAATTTCGAAACTATAAAAATTTGAAACATTTTTTGGATTTATCGAAGTTTATAAAAGTCGATAAATTGTGTATTGTTGATAATCGATACAATTAATAACAAAATCACTTCAAAATTAACAAAATATTAACAATTACCAAAAATAATATAAAATTCTTTCTTACAAAATAAAAAATTTCGAATTTCGATAACTCTCGATAAATGAACAAAAATTAATGTATGTGGTATAAATTATGATCAACTCTTTAGGAAAATAGCGACAACTATTCAAAACACTTAAAAATTGCAAACATTTTTAGAATTTATCGACCGCATTCACGAATTCGATAATTTGAATATTGTGTGAAAATTGAAGAGATAATCGAAATAATTGTGGAAATTTATTATGTTCAGATATTATTTGAGGAAAAGGACAAATAGCACTTGACATTTCATGAAAAAGATTAAATTTTCGTACAAATTCAAATTTTCAGAATTTCGATAACAATCGATAAATTGACAAACCTTGAATGATATATTATGTTTAGGCACATTTTTTTTGGGAAATGTCGGCAAACTGTAAAAATTTGAAAAAAATTAGGTTTATCGTAATTTAAAAAAATCGATAACTTCAGTATTGTTGTATAATCGATAAAAATTTACAGCAAAATACTATTATCATAATTAATATGGAGAGAAAAGACAAATAACGCTTGATATTTCAATAAATATTTTAAATTTGTTACAAATTAAAAATGTGCAAATTTCGATATCTCTCGATAAATTGGCAAAATTTCGATAAATTATATTTTTTTATGTTTTAGTCTTCTGTGAAGATTTTGTAGTGATTTCGGTTGAAACCATTAGGCAAAATATAGAAAATCTGAAAAAAGTATGAATTATTTTGAGAGTTATCGAAATTTAGATTTTCGATAAATTATATATATTTTTTAATTTTAGGTCTTCTATGAGGAATTTGTAATGATTCTGGTTAATATCATTATTCAAATATTGAAAATCTGAAAAAGTATGATATATTTTCAGATTTATCGAAGTTTAGATTTTCGATAAATTAAATATATTTCAAAAATTTGATCTTTAAAAGTACCGGACACTTTTTTCAAGAAATGCAAAAATAAACTTATTTTAAGCTAAATCTTAATATGAAAATAATCGACATACAGTCTATTTTTTACTTGAGAGTTATCGAAATTAGTTATTCGATAAATTAATTAATAACTATATATTATTTGTAAAAAATCATCATGTTTGCAAAATTTTACAAAATATGTGAAATTTGCCGATTTTTTAAAGTTATCGAAATTGATAATTCCGATAAATTTTATTAACGATAAATTATATGCTATTTTTTTTCTTTTTTAATAAAACAAATATCGCAGTAATATTTTGAAATTTGAAAAAAAAAATTTTGCCGATTTTTTACAGTTATCGAAAGTGGTAATTCCGATAAATTTTGTTATCGATAAATTATTTGTTACTTTTTCCTCTTTTAGTAAAACAAATAGAGCCATATTATGTTTAAAATTTTAAAAGAAATTTTTGCCGATTTGTGCGAGTTATCAAAAATTGTAATATCGATAAATTATTTGTTGATTTTTTTCTCTCTCTTAGTAAAATAAATATATTTGAAATTTGGAAAGAAATTCGCCTATTTTGAGAGTTATCGAAATGTATCCGATACATTTTGTTATCGATAAATTATTTGTTACTTTTTTCCTCTTTTAGTAAATCAAATAGGGTCATATTATATTTAAAATTTTAAAAGAATTTTTTGCCGATTTTTGAGAGTTATCGAAAATTGTAATATCGATAAATTTTGTTATCGATAAATTATTTGTTGATTTTTCTCTCTCTCTCTCTTAGTAAAACAAATATAACCGTAATATATTTGAAATTTGAAAAGAAATTCGCCTATTTTGAGAGTTATCGAAAATTGGAATTTCAATAAATGTTAATTCCGATAAATTTTGTTATCGATAAATTATTTGTTACTTTTTCCTCTTTTAGTAAAACAAATAGAGCCATATTATGTTTAAAATTTTAAAAGAAATTTTTGCCGATTTGTGCGAGTTATTTAATTTATTTAATTTTTTTTCTCTTGGTATAACAAATATAGCCGCAAAGAAATTTGTATTTTTTGTACTTTAAAAAAGTCATCGATTGTTATCGAAATCATTTTTAACGTTAATTTTGCATTTAAAAGTACCTCTCAACATTTCGTATCTTGTGCGTAGTTGTCGAATCGTTGTCATCGTCGATATATATCTTATGGATTAGCATCATGGTGGTGTTGTTGTTGTCGTCTCTATATACATACACATATTTGTATATATGTGTGTGTGTGAGTTTATCGATTTTGTAAAGCTGCATTGTTATTTAGTCGTCCCTGTGGTTGTGGTTCTCTCCATTTATAAATTTTACACTGCATCCATATATTGTTGTTGTCATTGTTCTACATCGTCCACATTGTTGTTGTTTTTGGGAGTTTATCGTCACTTATCGATTATCATTTGATTGCACAGTGTGTTGTATGCCATGTGTTTTGTCCACTTCATCATGAACATATCATCTCTTGTGTTATTTTTTTGTTCACTCTCTCTCTCACTCACTTTCTCTCTTCATCATAGTTATGTTAGCATTTACACATACACACCTACATACAATTTAGCCATTAGATTGTTCATCCTATTTAGAGTTAATTAAACTAGATTTACCATCCACCTACCTACAAATATTCTATAGTAATCTTCCTTTAAAGGTAACATGAAAAAAAAAATATTTTGTAATTTTGATTTCGATTTAATTTTGAAAAAACAAAAATACTGGTGTTTAACCCCCCTCTAATTATTTTTTCGATATTTTTGATTATACATACATATATTAGACTAGACTAATTTGGGCTTTTGGGGATATTTATGTGTTAAATGTTGTACAAATTTTGTGAGGTTATGTGAATTGTAATGAAAATTAATCGATTTCCATTTTTGTCTCTCTTTCTTTTTACAGGCTGGTTTGGCTGGTGCTTTGTCACAACTGCGTTTGGGTGAACCCCGTACCCCCGAGCAAGAAGCTTACGAGCATTTGATGCGTCGTCAATGCTGGGAATCTGGACAAATCGATTATTTGGGTCGTGATTCCTTCGATAATATTTGGAAGAGAATTACACAGACCCTGGAGAATAAGCCAGCGGATGATGATGACAAAACGGGTAGCTCTTAAAACTAAAATAAAAACAAACAAAAAAACGCACATATACAGCACACACCCACACAAATACCTCCATTCATACACATACATACTCACCTATTGCACCTATGAATGAATCACTCAATGCACGTCTCAAAAAAGATAAAAAAAATCATTACACTCACATCCATACATTGTTACAATGTAGTTAAACTAGTGAGTTTATGATTTTGCACTTTATCGATAAATATCGATAACCATTTACAATGTCACAAGTTCATTGTGAAAACAAACAACAACAAAAAATGCATCCCTCCAGCATTTGTATGAAAATTCCCCCCTTCACAAAACTCGAATTTTTCAATTAGAAATTTAAGACCATCATTTAATTTATTTTTTATACAAAAAACACAATTATCGTTTATCGATTACAAAAAAATATATTTATTTTTATTGAAATCATAAACACAATAAAATCGTTTCAAATAAATCACAAATAAAAAGCATTTCAGCATTTCTTTTGAACTTGTATTTTGTGGCATAAAATCGTTTCGTACATTAACAAAAAAATCGACATCGTTATCGAAAATATGAAGTATTGTGCGAGTGTGTGTGTCTGTTATCGTTTCATCATCGTGTCTTAATCGTGTGTCATTTCAAATTTAATTATTATTTTTATTATTATTATTATTTTAATTTATAGTGTGAACGTTTTCTTTACCAAAAGTTGTTTAATACAAATTTAAATCAACACAAAAAAACAAAGAATGAATAAAAATTTTTATTACCTACCTATTTTCAATGTAGTTTAATTTTGTTTTATTTATTTTTTAATGTTTAAAAATTATTTTTTTTTTGATTTATCATTATCATTAATTTTAGTGTTTATCATTAATTTTAGTGTTTAGTGGTCGTATAAGCATTGCCTGCATGTAAGTTTCACATTTAGTTGTGTTCATTTTCTATTACAAATGTCCACAGAGTTATATATGCATTTATAAAAAAAAATATCGATAATTTTCGATAAACATAATTATCGAAATATGCGTGAACTTAATGAAAAAAAAATACAATTTTTATAACATAATTTAGTACTAAATATATATTTCGATAATTTCAGATAAATAAGAATTCGAAAAAAATATTAACAGCTGTTATCGAAATTATATTTTATTTTTTATAGTTTTATATGGAAACCAAACATTTTTTTTTGAAAACTGAGTTATCGGGGTTTTTTAATATTATCAAAATTATTATAATTTTGTATAAAAACTCTATAAAAATAATTCAATTAATCGACAACAAGGTGAAGTGTATATAAAATTTGTCATTCCGTGTGAAAATATCTCGAATTCATCGCCGAACCTCATAAAATCATATATACCTATACTTCTGATCAGAATAATATCCTAATTCGATTTAGGCATGTTCGACTGTCGGTCTATTGAAACTACGCATTACTTAAGAGAGAGCTTTGAAATTTTACACAAATGTAGTTATTACATTTATATAACATTTAACTCCAACCTCCAATATTCGGTATTTTTGGGGATCTTGGGCACGTTTTCCAACCGAACTAGGTGTTATTTGGTATTTTGGAGTCTCATTGGGCACCAAAACTTCCTACCAAAAATTATCAATATCGGTTCAGGTTTTGGTATAGACCTTTAACCGAACATTTAACCGAACCCCAAATGTTCCGTAATTTGAGGATTATAGCCACGTTTTTTAGACGAATTTATGGTGATTTTATATTTTGGAATCTCATCGGGTGCCAAACCTTCCAACCAAAATTTATTAATAACGGTCCACGTTTTGGTGAAGTCCCCATATAATCAAACCTCCAATATTCGGTACTTTGGGGTTCTTGGGCCTGTTTTCTAACCGAATTGGCTGTAATTTGGTATTTTGGGTTCTAATTAGGTGACAAATCTTCATACCAAATATGATCAATATCGGTTCAAGTTTTCCAATAGCCCCCGAATAACTGAACCTCCAATTTTCGGCATTTTGGTAATCTTGGCACGTTTTCCAACCGAATTGGCTGTAATTTGGTAATTGGACACCAAACCTTCATACCAAATATTATCAATATCAGTTCAAGTTTTGTTATATCCTTCTTTTAACCCAACCCCGAATTTTCGATTTTTTGGGGTTCTTGGGTACGTTTTCCAACCGAATTGGCTCTAATTTGATATTTAGGGTTCGCGTTGGTTGCCAAAACCTCCTACCAAAAATTATAAATATCGTTTCCTGTTTTGTTATTTTGGCCACGTTTTCTAACCGAATTGACTGTAATTTGATATTTTGAAATCTCATTGGGTGCCAAAATCTCCTACCAAAAATTATCGAACGAATTCGCTGTAATTTTATATGTTGGATTCTCATTGAGTGCCAAACCTTAATACCAAAAATTATTAATAACGGCCATGTTATGTTATAGCCCACATTTGCCGGACCCAAAATTGTTGGTATTTTGGGGATCTTGGGCACGCTTTTTAACCAAATTGTCTATAATTTGGTTTTTTTAGTTCTCATTGGGCACCAAACCTTAATACCAAATATTATCAATTTTTGTTCATGTTTGGTATAGCCTCCATTCAACCGAACCCCGGATTTTCTATATTTTGAGGATCTTGGGCAAGCTTCCCAACCGAATTGGTCGTAATAAGATTTTTTTGAATTCTCAGTGGGTACCAAAACTTCATACAAAAAACAATTAATATTGTATCAGTTTTGAAGGTAGACCCCATATAACGGAACCTCCGAATTGCGGGATTTTTTTCAACCGAATTGGCTGTAATTTTATGTTTTGGGTTCTGATTGGTCGCCAAATAGCATAGCAAAAATTATTAATATCGGTCCATTTTTTAGTATAGCCCCCATTTAAAGGTTCCCCCAATTTTTGGTATTTCGGTTTTCCAACCGAATTGGCTGTAATTCGATATTTTGTGTTCTTATTGCGTGCCAAATCTTCATACTAAAAATGATCAATATTGTTCCACTTTTTGATATGAGACCCCATGGTGCGGTACCCTAAATTTACGGTATTTTGAGAACAAATTTTTCCGTCGAGGTGGGTCTTTTTTTGATTTTTTCGCAAATATTCCTACCAAAAGATTTCAATATTGGTCTACTTCAAGAGTATCTCTCCTAAGGTACCTCCAATTTTCGGGAATTTTAAGAATTCAGACACTTTTTTCAACCTCATATTTTTTTACTAAAAATTCTAAATACCGTTCCATGTGTGGGTGTAGTCACCATATATAAACCGAAGTGACTGTAGTTTGAACCTTTAGGTAAACACCATTCGTCCCTGATCATTTTAAATTCATGTCAGTTTTCTAAATAACCTTTCCTATAAAGGTCTCTCACCATTTTCGGAATGTTTAAGGTCCTAACTACGAAGTATTCAACCCGAGTGTTTTATTTTGCACAATATAAACACTAGGACCCAAAAAAAAACTCTGGTGCCAAGAAAAATGTCCTTCGCAAGGCCTCGATTGAATCGATCAATACCACCGATAGCCGTAAAATGTTACAAAAGACCCAAAAGAACACCTCCACCATTGAGGAGTCACGTCGTGTCAGCAAAAACTACAAACTCCATTCAAATCGAACAGTCTATGAGTCGTTCACCTCGTTTCAATGTCAACGACAACAACGATGACCAAAAGAACAAGAAGGTCGTGACGAAGGCTCCTTTAAACTAGTTCGTTCGGAGCGATCAGACACCGATGGTCAAAAGAAGAAGATGGCCTTGAAGAAGGCTCCATTAAATTAGTTCCTTCCGGAGCGATCCAACTTAAGTGAGCACACTTACAAATGCAGGACGATCGTGGCTATATCGTTTTAGAATTTCCTCTTGATCAAGGAGTTACAAACGGAATGACAACGATAATAGCATACCAAAATAAGGCTGAGCGTATAAACTATTGTTGAAAAAAAATCCGATAACATTTCGGTCTAATAATCACATTTTTGCTACAGGGAGTGGGCCAATAAGTCCGGCATTTTAAAACATATTTATTTTCACGAAAAAGGAATTCAAGTTTATGATAATTGGTCATTATGGACAGATTACTGCAGAATGGCCGTGTAGTTCTTATTCAAACTCTCTGAGATCCTCAATTTGAATTTTTATTTTTCTTCAAGAATTGCACTTTTTGACATTGTGTTTTAATTTTTGTACATATATTTGTATTATATTATTAATTTTTCATACACTTAACATTTTAGTTTGTAGTAAAAAAATTAAAATTTTCATTTGTTACAGCACCTAATGCCAAAAATACCACCCCTCCTCACACCCACCCCCAACAAAACACTCTAAACACAACATACATTAATTTTTTTCTAATTCTATTTTCCCATTCACTTTATCAAATGCTTTAACTAATCAAAATAAAAAAATGTTTCTCTCTACTTCCCATTTTTCTTAAAAAAACATGGCTTTGCTAACCGATTTAACCACCCCCGACCCTCCAACTTTGAACATTTCGTTGCGTTCAATTGCTAACAGTTGAGAGTTCGGCTGCCTCTGACACCACCACTAATCACCATCATAACAATTTGCAAAATGGCTTTTCCAACAGCGAAAATATACAACGAATTGCGGCGGCCGCTGTATCGGCCGGACCGAAAAAATCACCGGCGCCGCAAAGATCCTCGAAAATATCAACGAAGGCAGCGAAGGCATCACAGCGATTTAAATAACAATTACTGAGAGTGCTGAGGCTCTATGGATGCTTCATGCCGGCGATCTTCATCAAGTATGGACATCAAAAGATAGAAATTTTACCGCAGGCTGTGGATGTCTGATCGCCAAAAAAGCTAACAAATATTATGGCGCCCAAATGAAATTCTAGTACAAAAATTTAGTGTTTTTTACATAGTTAATTTTTCTAATTATTATAAAATTAATTTTTTGTAACGCATGTAAATATGTTATGTTATTTATTTACAACAACAACAACAATTCTAAAAATTACAATGATAAGGCTTCTCTGCTGCACACATGCTATAAACTAGCTCCCGCTGCAATCTCTAACACTCCCGAAAACACAACACCACTTGTAGTACAAACAAAAACTCACCACAATACACTTTTCTTTATTTCCCCCACAAAAAAATAAATTCACCACACTATATCCCACCCCGAACACAATACACACCACCTACACAGAAATGTTGACCTCTGCTGATATTGAACACGGCAAAGTTGAATATGACGAAAAGACCGGCGTCAAGGTTGAATATTTCAAAATCGATGGTGGCTATCAGGTCAAGACCACCACACCCCAACCTGGTGGTGGCTGGAAATCCTCCACTCAAACTTTCTACGATCCCAAACCCGTGACCGAAGAAGAAATGAAGAAACAACAGGAGGCCAAGAAATCGGTGATGAAGCGCATGAACAAAGAAATTCGCATCGATGAGAGAACCACCATGTTGACTCGTGCCATCGAAGGTGGCTATGAGGAGGTCTACACCACCGTCAACGAGGACGGCAGCAAGAGCATCAAGACCAAGACCATCTTTGATGCCGTTCCCGAGGGCACTCCCTTCCCCGATGCCGCCCAATACAAACCCCAAGATGTCCAAAAACCCGGTGCCAAGAAAAATGTTCTCCGCAAGGCCTCCATTGAATCGACCGATTCCACCGATAGCCGTAAAATGGTACAAAAGACCCAAAAGAACACCTCCACCATTGAGGAGTCTCGTCGTGTCACCCAAAACTACGAGATGACGGAAAACAATCGTACCGTCCGCAAGAACTCCATCCAAACCGAACAGTCCATCAAGTCGATCACCTCGTCCAATGTCAACGACAACACCGATGGCCAAAAGAAGAAGAAGGTCGTCAAGAAGGTCAACAAGACCCAAGCTCCACCACCACCAGCTGACTTTGTTCAAAACGATACCACTTCCGTGTCCACCAAACACGTACCCGGTGGTGTTGAGTACACCTACACCACCCAATTGGAATCGGGCAAGACCATCACCACCTCTAAGACCGTTTACGAAGAGGAAGAAAGTGAATTGACCGAAGAGGAAATCAAGGCCTACAAGAAGACCTTGAAGGAAGCCGAGAAACATAAAAATGTCACCACCACCAAGAAACTGAAATCGGAATCTGGCACCAAGAAGGTTGTACCCGGTGAAAATCCCGGTGATGTAACCACAGTTGAGACAATTAAAATCCAAGGTGGTACCGAATATCATTACACCACTGTCACTGCTGATGGTATTGTCAAGAAGGCTGTTAAGACTGTCTACGACCCTGTTCCATGCTCCAATCCCGATGATTCCGAAGAAGAGGAAATCATCGAGGAATATGAGGAGGAAATCATTGAACCCGGAGAGAAGAACATCAAGACTATTGAGACCATCAGGAGTTTGCCACAAAAGTTTGAAGGTAAGTGGAAGGAGTGTATAAAGGGTTCAATTTGGGAATGGGAGGATGGAGAAACATTTTTGGAAACATAGTCCAAAGTTATAAAGGACAAATGGATTTTAGATGAGAAAAACTACATCAGAAATTCTATCAGTATGAAAGCTTAACATGGTGTTATATCTATAGCAGAAACTCAGATCACTCAGGCTTTCTTTCTATCAATAGGATAATTTCAGAAGGACTTCTGTGTATAGACAAGTTTCAGTAGGTTTTTATTCCATATATATGTAGTAGAACTTCACGAGGCCCCAGCTCCAAGAACTGAAAATGTTCTGATGTTGGTTTTAGGGTTAATTTTTCATTTATCTGAAGTATACTTTTAGGCTCCATTATTGTTGTATACTAGTAGACCTCTACAACTACGAATATTTTTCACACTAAAATAGAAAAAAAAACTCGTAAATGGAGTTATTTTCAGCCAATAAACCGGTTTACGGCGCCTGGAATTTTATAATGGTAGTATTAGTTATGACAACCATAATGCCATAAGGCTATATCTATCTGCTGATCGACTGCTATGCTAGGTTTGGTTGGGGCCAGAAAGGCTAAATTTTCCTATATAGAAACAAATCAGTACAGAGACTAAGGAATTCGTTTATATTAAGGGGACCCCCCCATTCTCGGGGTCAAAAATTTTGTTGATATAATTCGAATCTACACTAATTAAAGAATGTCCCTACAAAATTTCAAATTAAAATCTCAAGAACTCTTGAAGATATAGCCGATTTATTGTGTCAGCATCAAGTGACGGCTGAAGGGCTTCTCAAACTTTAAACGCGTTTTTCTCTAAACATTTTTTTGCGAATGGCGGGCACGATAACTCAAAAACTAATAACCCAATCGATTTCAAATTTTTACACGTTTCTCTGTGAGTGTATAGCTCTCGTATGAACTAGGATAAAGCCAATCGGTGAATATCATCCTTATTTTTAACTTGGTTTTTGGACAAAAATCGGCAATTTTCGAAAAATATTTTTTCAAAGGTTCGCCATTTTGTTAATTTTAGAGCGAAGTCAATAATCCTAGTTCATACGAGAGCCAGACATGAACTCTTTCTAACACCGTTGGAATTTTCGGATTCCGATGTTCCAGTGAGGAGTTATCATGCCCGCCATCAAAAATAAGGACTTTTCTTTAATTACAAAAAACAACAACAAAACAATAACAAAAATTTTTTGTAAATTATTTTTCTTCTATTTTAATTCTTCAATTATATATGTGTGAAGTTACAAACCTTAACAAGCATTGGTATTGATTTACCAGCCCATTGAAAATCTTGAAAAATTAAAATCGAGAAGGGGGGGGGGTTCCCTTAAAAGATAAGTCGGCAATACCTCAGCTATATTTCCCATAAAAATAATAAGTCCTCAGATGTTTAGAAATTTATACCCGTTCCTGAAGGTGGTTCGGTATTTTTCGTTTCGCCCCGCAAAAGGAACAAGATCATTCATTTAGTTCCTATTAGTTCAATTGTTGCATGTCAGTTTATTCCGTCAATCATCAAGAAGAACTAGATGACCGATTGGTAGAAAGTAGGTGAACGAAAAATCGCAATATAAACTAAGTCATATATTTAGTCCGTAGTACCTTTTAGTTGAGTAATTCATATGTACAGTGTCAATTAAAGATATGAGAATATGAAAGATAGCATCTAGGTGAACGAGAGCAAAGTGGAACGACTGATGCAAAGGAAGCATATGAATGAAAGAACAGAACCTAATACCAATCGTTCCTTTTGTTGAATATTTACTTTGAACTATTTCGTTCCGTAGCGACCCAAATCTAACCCATACGTAATTTTGGAGAATATACATATAATAACTTTTTTGTAGAGTTGTGTCGTTCCGGTACGAATTAGCACAAAGGAACTATTCCGAAAAATGGACTACCTGTACTAAAATCGTTTCTTTTGCTACCAATCGATCATCGTTCATCATTGGCCCAATCTTGAAACGTATATATATGAATTATTCAACTAAAAGTAACTATGGCCTAAATATATGACTTAGTTCATTTGCGAAGCGATCCAAAAAAAGATCGAACGGCATCGGAGACGAAATTGACCAACTCTATCTTTCTGAGACGATTTCTGCAAAGTATGGGTAGTATTTATTATACGCTTCACCTCACTGTGGTACAGGGTATTATGACTTTGTGCATATGTTTGTAACAGGCAAAAGGAATCGAGATAGACACATGGTTCCTTTTGAGAATTTGCATAGAATCACTTTCTGAGTCGATTTATAAATTGCAAACAAAGTACAGGTCGCATTTATCCTCTGATTTGGATGAAATTTGGCACAGATCATTTATTGGGCCCCAGGACGAACCCTTTTGAAATTGGGAAAAATCGGTTCAGATTTAGATATTGCTCCCATATATAGATTTGTCCGATTTAATGTAAATGGTGCACTAAAGTACTTAAATATCTATCGAATTGGACGATATTTGGTATTATATACTGAATTCCATTCAAGTCTTCTCTGATTTAAGGTAAATGGTGTACCGAAGTCCCTTAATATCTTTCGAGTCTAGAATGTTGTGTGCTAAGATTTGCGAAAATCGATTCAGATTTAGATATAGCTCCCATATATATTTTCGTCCGATTTAATGTAAATGGTACACCAAAGTCCCTTAATATTTTTCGATTTGCACGAAATTTGGCACAGCGTAATGAATTAGGTCTAAAATGATGTGTGTTGAGTTTCATGAAAATTCTATATCTGACCAAAGGAAAAATTTAGTATCGGTTGCAGAATGACATGTTTATGGATCCAATTTCATTTTACTGGTCCTTTAAAAATGTGACGTCTGTTAGGATTCATCTATTGAATATACCCAAAGTGGTGAAAGGTATCATATAGTCGGCCCCGTCCGACTTCACTTGTTAGAATTTCCTTTTGTTGTCTTTAATTAAAAAGTCGACTTTTCGATCTTTAGATTTTGTCAGTTTGACTAATGTAAAATCGACTATAAATTTGATTTTTTTATATGAAGTGTCATCGGCATATAAAGTTGAGCTTTGTGATAATGAACCAATCATTTATGAAGAAAATCCATGAAAATCATTGAAAAGTCGACTTTCCGATTTCCTCAAGGATCAAATGTCGACTTTTAAATTTTTCAATATAAAACAGATGAAATTGGGCTTTGTGATAATGAACTAAGCATGTTTGAAGAAAATCTAAATCTTAAAGATAAAAAGTCGACTTTTAGATTTTTGAATACAAAAAGTGGATTTACTTATTCCTATGAGGATAAAAATCGAGTCCGGATCGAACTAGTTTAAAGGAACTATTCCGCAAATGAAACGATAGGTACTAGTTTCGGTTCGTTCGTTTATCTAGTTCCTTCGATATTTTTCTTTTGATTCAATCGTTCATCTAGATCTTTTCGATCGTTGACCGTGCACCAATGAACGATTCAACTAAAGTGAAATTTGGAACTAAATTAATGACCTAGTTCCTTTTGCGGAGCGAATCGAACATGATCGAACCACTTCAGGAACAAAATATTGCTCAACTCAAACTATCTGAGTCGATTTATACGTGTCTGTCCATGCCGCATTTATTATCAGAACGAGATACAATTTGGCACAGCTCATTTATTTGGACGAAATTTGAACTTTGTATGTTCGTTCGATTTTATCTAAATGCTGTTGGGGAAAATGAAATTATTTTTTCGGCAGATGGCTGTACTGATTTCTCGTAAAGTATCGATCAAACAATTTCAAATTTATGTTCGTTGGAAGGGTGACATTTCGCAGTAAAAAAATATTTTTCTGTTTCTTTTTGGGTGCATTCAGTTTTGGGTTACCGGGTGTTAAAAATGGAAGTGAAATTCGGTACATTTTACAGTTTTTCTTTGACAAAGGCGAAAATGCAAGCCTACAGGCTAAAAGTTTTAATGCATCCGCCATACAGTCCGGACTTGGCGATTATCATATATTTCCTGAATTGCTAAATTTCCTCAATGATAAAAAATTGATATCTAGGGAGTATTGTGAAAATCGACTATTAGAGTTTTTTGCAAATAGAGAGCAGGACTTCTATGAGAGATGTATCATGAAGATACCTATAAAATGGCAACAAATCATACACCATAACGGTGCATATTTGGACAAATCGGACATTCCGAAGCATGTGAAATAAAGTCCTATAGTTCATATAAAAATAATAGTTTTCTTTCTCCCCAACCTAATATATTCAATTGCAAAGAAAGGTTACCAAATGGAGCCTATAACAGCTTGTGTAAAGTCTTGTTGAAATCAGTTCAGATTTAGATATATTCATATATGTGTTCGCCCTATTTTATCTACAAACCAATAATTATTCAAAGATGTAGTATACAATCTGGAATCGGTTCGGTTCGGATACACACAGCAAATAGTGCTTAAATGACCAATGTTTGTCCAATAGCCATGTAATTTTGAACAGTGATCTAGTTCGATTGACATAAACTTTTGCGTAGATTTTATATGTAGCAGGGAACATAGAGGGGACTATCTGATCTACACGATATTTAAAGCATACAACCAAAATTATTGGAAAAGTCATTTGTTAAGCTAGATTTAAATCGGTAGGTTACAATACAAATTTTGTGTATAGCCATCGTACAAAGGGTATTTGATCCCGTCTAAATTTAGCATTATCTTTCATCTTTACATAATTGTGGAGGGTTAATAGTAATATGTATTGTAGCGCCTAAAAGTATGCTTAATTTTTGTGGGTAACTGTGTTGAGAAGATTTAACCCTCAATTCACTTGCTGTATGCCATAACAGGAGTGATATAAAAATTGCTTTATGCAATATAATTTTTGTATAATTTTTTTTCAAATTAATTTTTAATTTATTTCGTTTTTTGTTTTTACAGAGGAAGTCACCATCACCCATGAGAAGAAGGAAAAAAAGACCAAGAAAACCATGACCATGGTCAGCCAATAAACAACCAGCCCAAGGATACTGCTGTAGATGTCAGCCAACAATTGTTACCGTTTAAACCCTATCACAATTATTTTCTAATACTATTCAGTCATGTTAAAGAAACGTTAACGAATATTTTACAGAATTTATTTTCAAAATTTAAATTTTAAAATTTCTATTGTAAATGTTTTGTAATTTTGTTCATTTTTGATTGTTTTGTTTGTTAATTTTTTGTGTTGAATTTTCTATATATTTTATTATATTGAATAAATAAATAAAAATTTGATAAAAAATAAAAAAACAAATACATTTTTGTTATCAAAAAATTCGAAAATGGTTTATGACTTTTTCGACAGACCCCTTCCTATTGACCACCATCCGATACCAATTAAATTTCATAATTCCTTCTATTTTTGACCATCATTATGATGTTATGATGTTTCTGTGAAAATCAGCATCACCACTCGACCATGTTTATCCTGAAGCTTCAAAATGATTGCTGCCATAGATGTGGGTTGCTACCATACACACATACTGACACACAAGTGGCTTAAAGCCAGCGCTGGTGTTTTAATTGATCCAGTTTGCCCAAAACACATCCATGTCCGGCATAACAATTCGATGCATTTTTCAGCTGCAATGCTGTGCGGTTTTTGGAATTCATTTGGGGCCACAGAAATTACAATTTAAATCACTTCATTCATTCCATGGGGAAAATAATCCGTACATTTATTATTATCTCCATAGATGTGCACAATGTTAGCCAGTCATGTGTAAATGTTGTATGAGATGATATGTGTGTGTGTATATGAGTGTTTGCAATGCAAGTCAATAAATTGCGTATTTTTTGAAGTGAGTTTGTTTTGAATTGTGAAATTCAAAACATTTGTTGTCCGTTAAGTCCAATATTTTCTATTGATCGGAATATAAAGTAAGAATGAATGAGAAATAATTTTGGGATTTAAATTTCAAAAATATTTTAAATCTAAAAATGATCAAACTTTTAGGTCAATTTTTTTCCTCTAAAAAAATTTCTAAGTGCATGAATATTTTTCTACGGAAAAACACCCTTTAAGGAAATACAAATTTGTTCAATAGAAAAAATTCCGACCGAATTCAGACCGAAGTGACTGTGGAATTTATTTTTTGCAATAATACCATCGAGGAACGTTGAAAAGTCGGAAGCGAACCTTTTCCACCTTGGGCCCATAAAGAGATGCTCTTACGTACAATATGCTGTCGATAGAATAGACGTAGTATCCTTGGAGGACTATTGACATGGAATCGGGCGAAATTAAATATGAGATCTAGAAGGATATATGGACCAATCTAAATCAACCCATACACATGTCATTTTGAATGCTATGAAAAATTCCATGTTAATCTTGTTGACTTGGGGTCTTTGGTGTACTATTTGTATGAAATGGAGAAAAAACAATTATGTATTAGAGCTATATAAAATCTGGACGGGTTTCGGTCGGTTTGAAAATAAATATGGAAGCCATAACTAAATCCTAAACGAAATAACCAATATGAAAAAAAACAGTCAGGAAAGTTCGACTTTACGGGGCCGACTATATGATACCCTTCAACACTTTCGGTATATTCAACAGATGAATCCTAACAGACGTCGCATTTTTAAATGACCAGTAAAATGAAATTGGATCAATAAACATGTCATTCTGCAAACGATACTATTTTTTCATTTGGTCAGATATAGAAGCTATATCTAAATCTGAAGCGATTTTCAGGAAACTTAACACACATCATTCTAGACCTAATTCATTATCCTTTGCCAAATTTCGTGCAAGTAGAACGATATATAGGGGCTTTGGTGTCCCATTTACATTTAATCGGACGAAAATATATATGGGAGCTATACCTAAATCTGAACCGATTATCAGGAAACTAAACACACATCATTCTACATCTAATTCATTACGCTGTGCCAAATTTCGTGCAAGTAGAAAGATATATAGGGGCTTTGGTGCCCCATTTACATTAAATCGGATGAAAATATATATGGGAGTTATATCTAAATCTGAACCGATTTCCAGGAAACTAAACACACATCATTCTAGAGCTAATTCATTACGCTGCACCAAATTTCGTGCAAATCGAAGGATATATAGGGACTTTGGTGCACCAAATACATTAAATCGGACGAAAATATATATGGGAGCTATATCTAAATCTGAACCGATTTTCAGGAAACTTAACACACATGATTCTAGACCTAATTCATTACGCTATGCCAAATTTCGTGCAAATCGAAGGATATATAGGGACTTTGGTGCACCATTTACATTAAATCGGACGAAAATATATATGGGAGCTATATCTAAACCGATATTCACGAAATTGTGCACATTTCAGTCTGGACCTAATTCAGTACTCTGTGCCAAATTTCGTCCAAATCGAAAGATCTATAGGGACTTTGGTGCACTATTTACATAAAATCGGACGAAAATATATATGGGAGCTATCTAAATTTGGACCGATTTTTACGAATCTTAGCATACATCATTCTAGGCTTAATTCAGTACGCTGTACCAAATTTCGTGCAAATCGAGAGATATTTTGGGACTTTAGAGCACCATTACCTTAAATCGGACGAACATATATATGGGAGCTATATCTAAATCTGAACCGATTTTCTTTAATTTCAATAGGGTGCGTCCTTGGGCCAAATAAGTGACTTGTGCCAAATTTCATCCAAATCGGATCATAAATGCGACCTGTACTTTGTTTACAATTTAACATGCACAGACAGACAGACGGACGGACGGACATGCATAAATCGACTTAGAAAGTGATTCTATGCATATTCTCAAAAGGAACCATGTGTCTATCTCGTTTCCTTTTGCTTGTTACAAACATATGCACAAATACATAATACCCTGTACCACAGTGTGGTGAAGGGTATAAAAAGGGGGTTATATGCGGACTACCCCAAAAAGGGGTCGAATATTAATAATATTTGGTAGGGAAATTTGTTAAAATATATGACTACAAAATACCAAATTGCAGCAAATTCGGTTGAAAACGCGCTCAAGAACCCCAAACTACCGAAAATTGAGGATACCCTTATATGGGGGGCTATCCGAAAAAATTCACCTATATTAATAATTTTTTGTGGAGAGATTTAGAACCAATTAAGAACCCAATGTACCAAATTTCAGCGTATTCGGTTGAAAAACGCACTTAAGAATCCCAAAATACCGAAAATTGGGGGGTACCCTTATATGGACGAAAAAATTCACCTATATTAATAATTTTTTGTGGAGAGATTTGGTACCTATTAAGAACTCGAAATACTAAATTACAGTCAATTCGGTGGAAAAATACGATCTAAACCCCCAAAATACTGAAAATTAGGAGGTACCGTTATATGGGGGCTGCCAGAAAAAGTGGACCTATATATATTTTTTTTTGTGGGGACATTTAGTACCCAATGAGAAGCCAATGTACCAAATTTCAGCGTATTCGGTTGAAAAACGCGCCCAAGAACCCCAAATTATCGAAAATTGGGGGGTACTGTTATATGGTAGCTATGCCTAAACGTGGACCGATATATCCCATCTTCGAACTTGACCTCCCTGCAGACAAAAGACAACCCTATGCAAACACCTTCAGCACCCTATCTGAATTCCTTCAGAAGATAGCGTGATTACAACAGACGGAAGGACGGACATGGCTAGATCGTCTTAGAATTTTACCCTGATCAAGAATATATATACTTTATAGGGTCGGAAATGAATATTTCGATGAGTTACAAACGGAATGACAAAATTAATATACCCTCCATACTATGGTGGAGGGTATAAAAAAAATTATATAGGTTTGTTAAATACGCCAAAAATAAAATTTAGAGAATGAAAGAACCGGGTTTCTAAATTATTGAACCGAATATTCAGATATAAAAACCGTTAATAGTCCTGTTCAAGAAATGTAACACGTTTCTTTATTAGCTTTTTAATGATATGCACATAAGGCATGGGAACCGGTTTTATTATCCGAATATCCGGTTCAAACATTTATAAAACCGGTTCTTTTTTCTCGAATTTTATTTTTTTGACATATTTGGCAAAACATGTATGTTTTTAGAAAATAATTCGGACGAATCCGACAGTTCTACATAATAAGGAATGTATACTGAATTTATTAAAATGGCGGTTTTGTTGACGAGGAACGGGTAAACTTGAGAATAGACCATTAACCCGTTAAAATATCGATTTCTCGTCTTTGAGGATCCCATCTAAAATCTTAGGAGCAATATTTTGTAGAACATTCCGAGTATGAAAAATTACATCTGGTGCTCTTTGGTGTCCGGTTCAATAAATTAAGGACGAAAAGCACGCAGAAGGAATCCGGATAGAAGGATGAAATGCTCTACAAAAAAAAAATCCTCTTTCGATTTTGTTGCAAAAATGTTGTCTCAAAAAATACATACAATAGCTACAAATCAAGATATGATGTTATCTCTTCATGATAATGTCGCCAGGAAAAGAATAGAAAAGACCAGGCCATATGTCCGAGCTTGGATGTTTGGCGATTTTTTTTTATTTTGGGGTGTTAATATATTCACTAAGGTCTTTCATCCCTAATAGGAATTTTCCACCGCCAAAAAACTTGTCCCACTGTGTAATATGTACATTTTATCTGGTAAATATATCGAGGAGTGACATATTTAATATATACTCCGCCTTAGGGTTCTAAGTTAAAATCGATTTTTTCTGTAGAAATCCTAAATCCTTTAAAAATTAAAAAAACAACTATTTACATCGAATTTTTATTAACATAAAAATATAATAACTAGTACAATTTCACCAAAAAAGGAACCTGTACAGCCTCTGAATCCTCTACGGACCTGTGGAATGTTAAAAACTTATTTGTCTACAAAATCTTAAAGAGCTACAAACGATTTATTTGAGGTATATCCACCGGTAAACAAAAAAATATATTTAATTCCGTTTCAGCTTCTTCACGGACTTCGACGATCGGCAACACACCTTTCGCACAATAAACACCAATAATCCAATGATAAGAAGTGGTACTCCCACAGCAAATGCAATTACATCCAATAGATAAAATTCATACCATTTTAAATCCAAACCGGCAGATCTCAAATGCGTGGCACCCTTATGCCTTATAACATATTCAATCCAATAGACGGCGGTCTCACGTGCCGCCATTGGACGATCCCGGAATATTGTTGAATACCGTTGGATGTTATTACGATATTGAGGATTATTGATTAGCTTTTCCAAAGATTCTTTGAGAAGTTCCTTGGTTATAGTTGGGAAATGCAATTTTATGGCATAACCACTTTGTTCCGCTTTGCGTATGTTTAAGTGTTGATCACAATAGATGGGTATACCCAACATCGGTACACCATGATAGACACCCTCCTGTGTTCCGAAGAGACCTCCATGTGTTATGAAAACTTTAACATTGGGATGCGCCAATATATCCGATTGTGGTAACCATTTGCGTATCAGTATATTTTTCGGCATATCCGGAATGCTATCATTTTCGAATTTCCAGATGACACGCTGTTTCATCGATGCGAAAACGTCAAGGAAAATGCGCATCTTTTCATAGGGCATATCTTTCGATTGGACATTACTACCTATGAAATGGAAGAAAAAAATGGTTTCTTGAATAAAAATTTGCCCTGAGGATATTGTAGTGCTTACTCACCTAAACTGAAAAATATGGCCCCATCAACGGCTCCATCTAAAAATGTTTGCAAATCGTCGGGTAATTTTTTGTTTGGATGTATATGAAGACCACCCACAGCAATCATACCCGGCACTAAGGGTCTAGTTGTACTCAGCGGTGTATAACTGTTGACCATAGCCACTGAGATGTTTTGTTCCAACTTCGAAACTGGAGGGATATCAACTGAAATGTAAAAAGATAAGAAATGAATAAATTTATTTGTAACTAGAAGAAGAAACATTTTAAGGGGGGAAGGGAAGATCGGCCAGACCTAATTTTTTATACCCTCCACCATGAGACTGCCATTCAATATACCTAAAATCGATGGAGAATTTTATGTGCGGGATATACCACGGTAAGTTGACATTTTGTATTCCTGCGCATTATTTTCTAAAAAAATATATGTATATAGGTATGGCAAATACGCAAAAAAAAAATAGAGAAAGAAAGAACCGGTTTTGTAAATTTTGGAACCGGATATTCGGATAATAGAACCGGTTTCAATACCTTATGTGTATATCATTAGAAATGTAGGAAATTAATAAATTTATTTATAACTATAAGACGAAACATTTTAAGGGGGAATGAGAGATCGGCCAGACCTAATTTTTTATACCCTCCACCATGAGACTGCCATTCACAATATCTAAAATCGATGGAGAATTTTATGTGCGGGATATACCACGGTAAGTTGACATTTTGTATTCCTGCGCATTATTTTCTAAAAAAATATATATGTATATAGGTATGGCAAATACGCCAAAAATAAAATTTAGAGAAAGAAAAAACCGGTTTTGTAAATTTTGGAACCGGATATTCGGATAATAGAACCGGTTTCAATACCTTATGTGCATATCATTAGAAATCTAGTAAACCTACGTGCAAAATTTATTGATCCGTTATATTATCGGTTTTATTATGTGAATACCCGGTTCAAAAGTTTAGAAACCCGGTACATTCCTTAAATTTTATTATTGCCGTATTTGTCAAATCTCCATATTTTTTGTAGAAAATAATACGGACGAATCCGACCGGTTTTCGAAAATTGTTAAACCGAATATCCAGTTAAAAACCCGGGTTTATATATATGTTATATGCATATTATTAGAAATCTAGTAAACCAAATGGGCTAAATTTAGTGTAACGTACTATTATCGGTTTTATTATTTGAATATTCGGTTCAACAATTTTCGAAACCCGGTTATTTGTTCTTCGATATTATGAAAAAATGTGTCAGATTCGTCTGCATTATATTCTAAAAAAAATATATGTATATAGGTATGGCAAATACGCCAAAAATAAAATTTAGAGAACGAAAGAACCGGTTTTGTAAATTTTGGAACCGGATATTCGGATAATAAAACCGGTTTCAATACCTTACGTGCATATCATTAGAAATCTAGTAAACCAAACGTGCAAAATTTATTGATCCGTTTTATTATCGGTTTTATTATCTGAATACCCGGTTCAAAAATTTAGAAAACCGGTTCATTCCTTAAATTTTATTATATGCCGCATTTGTCAAATCTCCATATTTTTTTAGAATATTCGGTTCAACAATTTTCGAAACCCGGTTATTTTTTCTTCGATATTAAGAAAAAATGTGTCAGATTCGTCCGCATTATTTTCTAAATATATATATATATATATATATATATATAGAGGTATGACAAATACGGCAGAAATAAAACGAAAGAACCGGTTTGCTACATTTTTGAACCTGATATTCGGATAATAAAACCGGACTATTAACGATTTTATTATCTGATTATTCGGTTCAAAAATTTAGAAAACCGGTTCTTTCTTTCTCTTTTCTGGCGTATTTGTCATATCTGAAAAATATATAGGTATAACAAATACGACAAAAATAAAATTTTTTAGATAGATAGAACCGGTTTTCTAATTTTTTGAACCGGATATTCGAATAATAAAACTAATATGAGTCCGGTTTAATAAATTTAACACGTTTGTTTACTAGTGTAAACAAAACCGGTTTATTATCCGAATATCCGGTTCAAAAATTTAGAAAACCGGTTCTTTTTTCCTCGAAACTAATTTTTTTCGGAGTATTTGGCTAAATTATATATGGGCTTAGAAAATGTAATTCGTACGAATTCGATGGTCCTACATAATAACGAATGTATAGAAATCGGGGTTTGGTTACAGAAAACGGGTAAAATTAAAAGGTTAAAATATCGATTTCTCGTTTTTGAGGACCCCACCTAAAATCTTGTGAGGAATATTTTGTAGAACATTTCGAGGATGTAAAATCACATTTTGGGATAATTAGAGTCCGGTTCCATTAATTAAGGACGAAAAGGACACACAAGGAAGAGAGTTAGAAGGTCGAAATTTTCTATAAAAGAACCGAATCTACATACAAAGGTTGGTCCAGAACTGTGGTGTTTACAAATTATAATGTACAGATGGACGGACACACATAGATCAACTCTGGGTCTAGGACCATTACTTTGCAGTGTTACAAGCTCTTAAGGCCACACAAAGCTATAATATCCTTACAAAATATTCATGTAGGGTATAATAAGACTTTTATCATAATAATCGATGAACACCTCCAAAAAATATAAAATGCGTCGTTAGATCTTTCTGTGAACACTTTCCTTAAACTGAGGTCCTAACAAAAATAAAAACCAGTGAGCGGAGCAGTATAGTCGGACGTGGCCGACCATACGATACCATACACAACTACCACGGAACTCTAACTTTCTGCGGATGTTTATTCCGAGCCTGGGCAATATTTCGTTATATTTGCTCAATCTAGCCCAATTAGAGATCAACAGCTCCTCTTCATTACACTCACATATTTTCCGAATCATTCAGTACAGCCATTATAATTAATTGTCCAGATTCCCTTCGGCCTGTTATTGACATCGAATCGACAAAACACAATAAATTAAGTATTCGGTCCACTTCATCCCAATATTATAATCTGATCATCACCGAAAATTATAGGCGTTGTCTTTGACCATAACTGGAACCTCATGCAACATTTAAAAGCGGTCAGTGTTATATTTCCGCCCTCTAGTGTGGTAATGGGTTACTAAATAATATCGGAATACGTAGATAACTCTGAATATTTAATTGCAACTCCCACATCCGAGTTCATACGACAGTATAATTGGTATCAATTTAAAGGTCAACCACTCCTCTTGGATATACTATCAACTTCTCTTTAACATATTCGGGAGTTAACATATTCGCCATAGAATACAAATTTAGTAATTTTTCACACAAAAGTAAGAGTTCATAACAGGCATGCTTATTTTTTGACCCGATCCCCTTCTCCATGTAAAAATTTGCGATGTTTGGACCATAATTGCGGCCTCTGGAGCGACCAGAAAAACCGACAAAAATTTAGTATTTGGTCCATTTCATCCCCTAAATATTAACCGATCTTTACCAAAAACAATAGGGGTCTGCATTGGCCAGAACCCATCCTACATGCAAAATTACGAGAAGATTGGTCCAAAACTGTGGCCTCTATCGTGTTTACAAATTATAATGGACAGACGGACGGACACACATGTCTAGATCGACTCAGCTAGTCGCGATATGACGATCGGTATACTTAATGGTGGGTCTAGAACCAATATTTCGCGGCGTAACAAACCCTTGGGGCTGCACAAAGCTATAATACCCTGACAATATAGTTGTGTGTGGTATAAAAATCGGACTTTTGACTCAAAATAATTTCAATTTAAATTAGTTTTTTATGTTGTCCGTCTCTGTTTAGTCTACCGACTACAAAAAAATGAGATAGAGGAAGTCACAGAAGTCTACTAAAGATAACAAATATATATATATATATATATATAAATGGGTAAAGCTTTGTGGTAAGTGATCTTGACACAATTATTTGTTTTTGAGATAGGTCCAAGCATGTTTTTGATAAGATTCCAATGTTGCCATGTGTTGAAATTTTGAGATTAGATTATTTGCCAGACAACTACTCGTTGTATTGTGTTGGATATCTATTATGAAAAATCACCACAATATAATCTATTTATGTTTTCTTTTTATACCCTACTCAACTGTGTTGTCAGGGTATTATAGCTTTGTGTGGTCTCAATAGTTTGTAACGTCACGAACTAGACCTAATTTTTACTATACCGATCATATAACGAGTAGCTGAGTGGATCCTGACATGTGTATCCGCCTATCCCTCCGTCTGTCCATTATAATTTTTAAACACGATACAGGCCACAGTTATGGACCAATCGTTACGAATTTCTGAATGTAACACGAATTCTGACCAAATAAGGCAAATATTGGCAATTATCAAATGGATCAAAAACTTTATGCCGCCGAGGAGCTGAAATATTGTCCAAGCTCAGAATATAGATATGCATAAACTTAGAGGTCAGTGGTAGTTGTTTAGGGTATCATATAGTCGACCTACTCACTGATTCTCGTTGGTTCCCTAACCATTTGAAAATCGTTAAATAAATGCTCGTGTCGTTTGGTGCAATAAAATTTCGGAAAAAAACTGAAAAAAGAGACAATATAAGATCGCCCAAGGTAATGAATGCATGATTCTATGTGTATGAGACTTCGAAGACGAACCAAATTAAAAAATTTTCGTGGAAGAAGAACTTCGAAGAACTGCACGTCGAAGAACACTTATACCACAATTTGTTCGCCTTAAGACTTCGGAGAAATTCAAGTACAAACAAGCAATGTAAGATCTCTCACATCGTCGCACTGCAGTGGCACCGAATTGGACTATTCGACCCTCTTTTTTATGAGAAAAATTTGCCAAACACTGAGAACCACAGATATATAATTACCGACAATTCGGTTGGAAATAGTGCCTACAACCTCAAAATATCGAAAATTGGGTTCTTGTTATATAGGGTCGTACGTTATGTGGAAGCTAATCTAAAACCAGTAAAGAAAGTAGTAAAGTCGGACTGGGCCGACTATAAGACCACCACTTTGGGTATATACTACATATGTATCCTAACAGACGTCGCCTTTTTGAAGGAACATTGACATGAAATTGAACGAACTGAAATATGTGATCTTTATCTATAAGTAAACCGACTAACATCAATCCCAAAACATGCCATTCTGCAAACTTTGCTAAATTTTTTAAATCGATTTAAAGCAAAATTGCAACACGCTATTTGGTGGTTTAAAATTTAATCTCAATCAAACATTCATTAATTACATGGTTTACAATTACCATGAATAGGTTGAAATTATATATGGAAGCTATGCTACATCTATATCTGAACCGATTTCAAGGAAACTTGCCAGAGATTAATTTATATTAGCTTCAGTACGTTGTGTCAATCGGCCAAAACCGGACGGAAATATACATAGGAGGTGTATGTAAATCTGAACCGATTTTCACGAATTCAGTACCCTATACGAAAAATTCGTGCAAAGATATACAAGGACTTTGGTGCGAAAATATATATGGTAGCTATATCTAAATCTGAACAGATTTTCATGAAACTTATCACACCTTATTCTAGACTTTATTTAGTACGCTATGCCAAAATTCGTGCAAATCAAAAGATTAGCAGGGGCTTTGGTGCACCATTTACCTAAAATCGGGCGAAACTATATGTGGGAGCTATATCTAAGCTAAACCGATTTTCACGAAACTTAGCACACATCATTCAAGATTTAGTTCTGTAGGCTATACCAAATTTCGTGCAAATCGAAACATATATAGGGTCTTTGGTGCACCATTAACCTAAAATCAGGCGAAACTATATATGGGAGCTATATCTAAATCTTAACCGATTTTAACGAAACTTGGCACACATCATTCTAGAATTTATTCAGTAGGCCATACCAAATTTCGTGCAAATCGAAGGATATATAGGGACTTTGGTGCACCATTTACATGAAATCGGAGGAAACTATATATGGGAGATATATCTAAATCTGAACCGATTTTCACGAAACTTAGCACACATCATTCTATATTTAAATTAGTAGGCTATACCAAAAATCGTGAAAATCGAATGATTTTCAGAGACGTTGGTGCACGATTAACCTGAAATCGGGCGAAACTATATGTGGAAGCTATATCTAAATCTGAACCGATTTTCAGGAAACATAGCACACACCATTCTAGACTTAGTTTAGAAAGCTATACCAAATTTCGTGCAAATCGAATGATATTCAGGGACTTTGGTGCACCATTTACCTAAAATCAGGCGAAACTATATATGGGAGCTATATCTAAATCTGAACCGATTTTCAGGAAACTTGGCACACATCATTCTAGACTTAATGCAGTAGGCCATACCAAATTTCGTGCAAATCGAAACATATATAGGGACTTTGATGCACCATTTACCTTAAATCGGACGAAAATATATATGGGAGCTATATCAAAATCTGAACTGATTTTTCCCAATTTCAATAGGGTTCGTCCTTGGGCCAACTAAATGAGCTGTACCAAATTTCATCCAAATCGGATTATAAATGCGACCTGTACTTTGTTTACAATTTAACATCAACAGACGGTCGCACGGACGGACATGCATATATCGACTCAGAAAGTGATTCTATGCATATTCTCAAAAGAAACCATGGGTCTATCTCGATTCCTTTTGCCTGTTGCATACATATGCACAAAGACATAATACCCTGTACCACAGTGTGGTGAAGGGTATAAATATGGGCCAATAAGGTGGTAAAAAATTCGTATTGGGGTGGAATGACATTGGTGATATGTGAAACCCCCAAAGAGGAAAAAATCACTATAGGCCAAAGTTTGGAGATATGACGTGATAATGTTTTGCTAGCGACCCTTTTAGACTCGATGAGATATCTTCATGTGTATTGTATGTGTTTTTATACCCTACACAACTATGTTGTCAGGGTATTATAGCTTTGTGCAGCCCCAAAAGTTTGTAACGCCGCGAAATATTGGTCCTAGACCCACCTTTAAGTATACCGATCGTCATATCTCGACTAGCTGAGTCGATCTAGACATGTGTGTCCGTCCGTCCGTCTGTCCATTATAATTTGTAAACACGATACAGGCCACAGTTATTGACCAATCTTCACGAAATTTTGCATGTAGGATGGGTTCTGGCCAATGAAGACCCCTATTGTTTTTGGGAAAGATCGGTTAATATTTAGGGGATGAAATGGACCAAATACTAAATTTTTGTCGGTTTTTCTGGTCGCTCCAGAGGCCGCAATAATGGCTCAAACATCTTGAAATTTTGCATGGAGAAGGGGATCAGGCCAAAGAATAAGCATGCATGTTTTGATAAAGATCGGTCAATATTTAGCGGGTCAAATGGACCCTGACTTTTGTGTGAAAAATTACAAAATTTGTATTCTATAGCGTATATGTTTGTCCCTGATGGACATAGACCCGAGAAGTTGATTTTATATCCAAGAGGAGTGGTTGACCTTTAAATTAATACCAATTATATAGTTGTATGTGCTCGGATGTGGGAGTTACACCCAAATATTTACAGGTATCTCCGTATACGTATATTATTGAGTAACCCATTACCATACTGGAGGGCGGAAATATAGCGCTGATCGCTTTGAAATGTACCATGAGGTTTCAGTTATGGTCAAGGACAACGCCTATAATTTTCGATGATGATCAGATAATAATTTTGAAATGAAGTGGACCGAAAACTTAATTTTTTGTGTTATTTTCGAGTCGATCTATAGACCACAAATGAAAGTCGAAGGAATCTGGAATCTGGACAATAGCTGTACTGAATACTCGAAATATTCGGAAAATATGTCACTTGTGAGGTGCTGTTTACTTCTAATCGGGCAAGAGGGGGAAAATATCACGAAATATTGCCCAGGCTCGGAATAAACATCCGCAAAAAGTTTGAGTTCCGTGGTAGTTGTGTAGGGTATCGTATGGTCGGCCCCGTCCGACTATACTGCTCCGCTCACTGGTTTGAGATTACATTTCGAAATGGATTTGTTTGTATAATATTTCGTCCTTGTAACTAAACTCCTTGTGTGTCCTTTTTGTCCCTAATTTATTGAATGGGACACAAATTATCACAACATGTGATTTGCAATATTCTATAAAAATGTAATTTAAACCAGTTAGCAGAACAAAATAGTCGGACGAGCCCGACTATATGATACCCTACACAACTACCACGAAAATCTAACTTTCTGTGGTTCTATATTCTGAGTTTGGGCAATATTTTGCGATATTTGCAACCTCTTGACCGATTACAGGTCAACAGCTCCACTTTCTTTCCTTGGCATATTTTCCAAATCTTGTTTTCCCGAGATGAATAATTACGACATAAGATAAAAATTTGTTCACTTTCGGGGGTTTTGTGATTTGAACCTCAGAATATTGACCGAACATCATCTGAACAGCCGTTCTATGTATTTGGTCAGATCCCCTTCACCGTGTAAAATATGAGATGTTCTTCTTATAATAATGATAAAATATAAAGTTTTCGCTTCATTGCGACCTTTGAATATCATCTCAACATCGCCCAAAATTATAGGCGTCGTCCTTGTCGATAACCGGAACTTCATGTACAATTTCAAAGCGATCGGCGCGACATTTTCGCCCTCTAGTGAGGTAATAGTAATACTAAACAATATCAGAATATGTAGAACACCCACATTTGTGTACACACAACAATAAAATTAATATAAATTTTAAGGTCAACCATCCCTCTTGGATGTACTATCACGGGTCTATGTCCTTCAGGGGTAAATATATACGCCCCAGAATAAATTTTTTGCCATTTTTCACACAAAAGTCTGGGTCTATTTGACCCGCTAAATATTGATCGCTCTTCATGAAAAGAGTCATGCTTGTTCTATGGCCAGATTCCCTTCCTGGTGTACACTTTCGTGGTTTGCGGGTCATAATTGTGGCCGCTAGAGTGACCAGAAAAACAGACAAACATAAATAATGACCGATAGAGGTCTTCTTAGGCCAGAACCCATCCTACATTCAAAATGTCGTGACGATTGGTCCATAACTGTGGCCTGCGTGGGCAGACGGACGGACGGACACACAAACAACAGCTAGCTATGTTGGAAAATTCGTGTAGGGCAATTAACACACTCGAACCCATATTGAAAATGTTTTTACCCTCAATAGAAAAATCCGATGGGAAATCCAAACACCTAAGTGAAGTGGGACCAATATGGGGTATTTAAAATATTGACTTATACTTTAATGGGCCTTCGCACAAATATTTCGACGTTTTACAAACGGAATGACACCCTTAATATACAATCCACCTTCTGGAGGAGATAATTATAAATACTTATCTTCTTATCTCCAAACTTACCATTCAAATGTCCAAAATATTTCTCCACCAGCTTATCCATTTTTGGAAAATAGTCATATTCACGAATGATATCCTCTGTGAGGGAATAAAACGAATTCATGAGACGTTCGAAGAATGTCATGCGATCGTTGTAGGGTGAAAATGTGTGCGGTACAAATGACCATGGCATAATGACACCCATCATTTGGCTCATACGTGATTCAAAACCTAGAGTACTACTCGTGACAATGGGCACATCATAGACACGCGACAATGCCAAAAAGGGTTCCTGATAGAATTGTTCACACAGCAACAAATCGAATTTACCCCTTGGCTGGGGATCGTTGATTAATTCCAAAACTTTGGGTTGCTTCAGGGCATGTTCTGTTGTTGAAAATGCAATAATGTCCATCATTTTGTAATACTGCAGATTACTCATGTCCGTCAGGGCAAAAATGTTCTCGGTTTTAAAGAAGTCCATAACTATGAAAGAAATAAACATTTATTAAAAACTTTTCTAAGGTTTTGAATTGTAAATCCTCCACTTACCATCACTCCAAAAATCATAGACCGGTTCTATGAGAATCTCTGTATAATTTTTACCCAACTTCATGTGTTCCAATGTAAATGCAGCAATCATTGTCACTTCGTGTCCTCGGTCCACAAGTTCCTTAATCAAAGCTGAATGCATGCCATAATGACTTTTGCCAGGAAAGACATACGCAGCCAATATTCGGGCACCCTCAACTCCGTTTGTCCGGCCACCGCAACCTGATAGCAGCAGCATCACGAACACCAGCGAACATGCTGTTAGACAGGTGAAATGTCTCGGAAGCTGTGTGGATGAATTGAAATGGACATGATTTGAGTTAATTAGATTTACTGATGCCATACACAGCAGTTCATACAAGGTAACCATCTAACCAAGCACCTCTTGTGAGAATCATTGGTTTGATTGGCTACTTGACAATTTCTATTGTGAGAATATGTGTCAGCTGTTGGCCTTCATCGAATCTTGTGTGAATTTTCTTTTCAATTTCCTATTTGGTGCCGGGAATGATATTCGTCATAAGGGTTGGAAAACAGGCAGATAGCTCTTTTATGCTTTTCTTTTTCAGACAGAAATAACTCCCAAAGAGAGCACGCGTGCGGGTGTTTGCCTGATGCTGGTTTGGAAGGTGGCATACATATATATATATATATATATATATATATATGTGTGCAATGCTTCTGGAACAGACAAATGTCAGATTGCAGTGTTACCACTCATTACGTTCGTACTAAAATTTCTCACACACACTCACACATTTGTGGATAATTTATATGTATTATTTTTCTTCATATCTGTCATTACAATAAGTTTCTGTTGCATTTAATTGCAATGGCAATTTAGACAAAAATGTACGGATGTAATTTGACAAGTCATATTATTAGTCAATCTAAAATTTTGTTGAATGACATTGGTAAATTTTTGTGACATTCGAAAAACTAGGTTAGGTTAGGTTTGGGGATGTGCAGTCACTTATGTGGCTGCAGTACTCTGAGACCGGTTAGACCCGTTGTGATCATTCACAAGAAGAGATATATTGAAGAGAAGAGACAAAGACAGATCTGTAGGGGAGAGAAGATTAGGGAATTAAAGGAGAGTTGAGAATCTTACATAATTAAATGAAGGAGGAATGAAGGTCGACGGCTCTAAGAGTCAGACAGAAGATGTGTTACATGTCAAGGTTGTATGTTCCTAACCACTTTTTGTTTCTAATCATGCTGTAGATTTGAGCAGGTTCGGTTGTTGAGAAGAAGCTGAGACTTGGTAGAAAATGAGCACCCACTAGTCTGTGCCGACTGTAAGCCAGGGTTGGGCAATGACACAGGAGATGCTCAATTGTCTCCGTTTCCTCGTCGTCAACACAGAATCTGCAGTAATCAATTGCATCAAGATCCAATTTACTAGTAAAAGCCCTGATGTTGCAGTGACCAGTAATGATTCCCGTCATCACTCTAATTTCAGTAGACAGAGTCGGCCAAATGGATCTTGATACGTTGCACTTAGGTTCGTTGTGCCAAAGTTCACAGGCTCTTTCGTCAAAGAATGCCTCAAAATTCCGATATTCCAACAAAACCGATAACTATAGGAAGTTCTTCCAGAGCTGCTCTACACTTTTTATTACCAAAGATGTCACCATGTCCTGGTACCCAACAAAACCGATAACTATAGGTAAGTTCTTTCAGTGCTGCTCTACACTTTTTATTACCCAAGATGTCACCATGTCCTGGTACCCAACACAACCGATAACTATAGGTAAGTTCTGCCAGAGCTGCCCTACATTAGAGGAGGGCTGGTTCGTCCGCTCATTCATTACCCAAGATGTCACAATGTCCTGGTACCCAACACAACCGATAGCTATAGGTAAGTTCTTCCAGAGCTGATCTACACTTGAGAATGGCTTCGGATTTGATGTAACAAGATTTGATGGCTTAAAGAGCCGCTTGACTATCCACAATGATAGTCACCGGTTCAACGACCTCTGCATTCAGACTTTTTATCAATTCCGCTGCCTTCCAGATCGGGAAGATTTCAGCTTGGAAAACACTACAGTTGCAATCCAGCTTGTAGTTTAACTCAAGGCCTAACCTTTCACAGTAGACGCCTGCCCCAGTACCTTCTTCCATCTTGGATCCATCTGTATAGAAGGCCAGACCGCCCAGCGGAGGGTTACTTCGTTTCCAGTCGTCTCTACTAGGAATAACGACATCTACATCGTCAAATCTCAGGATTGGTGATATATAGTCGCTTAGTTTAGCGCGTTGGTCCAATGCCATACCTGGTTCATTCAGAATACTACCATGCCCAAAGGAACAGTTCCGCCAGAGTTATTGTTCATGCAGCCTTAGGGCGCTACGCGCGGCCTGACACTTAATGGCCCAGAAGTACAGCATTGCGTTCAGAGCTGCTTGTGGCGTACTCCATCTGGCTCCGGTAACTAAAATCGCGGCGGCTCTTTGTACCTTGTCTAATTTACTGGATGTCGACTTGAGGCTCAGACAGTTCCACCAATGACAAGATAGGCCTCACCACAGTGTTATACAGCCAGCCCAATGGAGTTCTTGCATGCATAGAGTGCAATCATCCCTCTCTTCGCCCGTTCCTCAACGTTCCTTTCTCATCGTAGTTGACAGTCCGGGATTGTGGCGAGGTACTTTGCTTCGGGAGATAGATGAAGTTGCACTCCATCCAGTGTTGGTGGAGCAAAAACGCCGAGCTTACGCTTCCTAGTGAACATTACCAGTTCCGTCTTCGTTGGATTTACACCAAGACCATTTGCCCTGGCTCAGGGCGACAGCGTCAGTAAGGCTCTTTGCATAAGCTCCGAGATTGTAGACGGAAATTTTCCGGAAATCAATATCAACACGTCGTCCGCATAAGCTACAACTTTGATACCTTTCCCGTCCAATTCCCTCAGTATAATATTAATTACCAATAGTCATAGTAACGTCGAAAGCACCCCTCCATGAGGTGTGCCTCTAGTTACCATTTTCCTGATTTTTGTATCCCCCGCACTTGAATTTACAATTCTGCTGTTAAGCATTTTATCTATCCAATATGTAAGGGTATCAGGAATGCCAACTACTTTAAGTGAGTGATTTAAAATTTGAATTTTCCATGTTCCTCTCAATGTAGCCTACCACTTCGTGCAGGGCAGATTCCACAAAAAATATTAGGGGGCACCAGTCATTCTCGTTTTAAAATTTCGACCAACAACCAAGCTGAAAAATTGGGAAGATAATCATCGATTGGATTTATCCTTGTTCATACGATAGTTATGTATTGTAGGCCCAGAATAATGTATTAAAATTCCAAAAATTATAGTTTTTGGTAAGCAGACTTGAACCCAAATTAAACAATTACAGGCAGATCGGTTGCTATCCCGAAACTTGAGTCAATATGAAAAGGTAGCTATACCAAAACGTGGTCCAATGAATCCCTTTATAAATATCAACCATTGATTTCATTAGACGTACAGACATACGAACATGGCAACATCGACATAGCATTTTTTATACCCTGCACAACTATGTTATAAGGGTATTATAGCTTTGTGTGGCCCCAAGAGTTTGTAATACCGCAAAATATAGACCCATCTTTTACTATACTGACTATCTCGACTAACTGAGTTTATCTAGAAATGTATGTTCGTCCGTCAGAAATTTTGCATATATGACCGATTCGAGTCCTAGGTGATGAAATGGGCCAAAAATTTTATTTTTGTTTGTCGCTCTTGAGACCACAAATATGACCCGAACACCACGAAATTTTACACAGCGAAAGAGATCTGATATGCAGGAACAAGTGTGACACTTTTCATGAAAATCGGTACATATTTAGCTGGTCAAGTGGACCCAAAATGGGAAATTATTGTCACTCATTGTCGTATATACATACTGCTGAAGGACATAAACCGGAGAAGTTGATAGTATATACAAGAGGAGTGGTTAATTTTTTAATTGATATCAATTATATTGTACTCGAATAGCGGATTTATAGATAAATATTTATAGGTCTGTAGCTATTCTGATATTGTTTAGTATTAACATTACCACACTAGTGGACAGAAATGTATCGCTGATGGCTAGGACATTTTGTATGTGATTCCGATTATGTTCAAGGACGATGCCTATAATTATAGCCTTCACCACACTGTGGTACAGGGTATTATGTCTTTGTGCATATGTTTGTAACAGGCAAAAATAATCGAGATAGACCTTTTGAGAATATGCATAGAATCACTTTCTGAATCGATTTATGCATGTCTGTCTGTCTGTCCATTTTAAATTGTAAACAAAGTACAGGTCGCATTTATGATCCGAATTGGATGAAATTTGGCACAGTTCATTTGTTTGACCCAAGAACGAACCCTATTGAAAATATCGGTTAAGATTTAGATATAGCACCCATATATATTTTCGTCCGATTTAAGGTAAATGGTGTACGAAATTTGGCATAGCGTACTGAACTAAGTCTAAAATGATGTGTGCAAAGTTTTGTGAAAATCGGTCCAGATTTAGGTATAGCTCCAATATATAGTTTCGCCCGATTTTAGGTAAATAGTATACTAAAGTCCCTATATATCTTTCGATTTTCACGAAATTTGGCATAGCGTACTGAATTAAGTATAGAATGATGTGTGCAAAGTTTCGTGAAAATCGGTCCAGATTTAGATATAGCTCCCATATATAGTTTCCTCAGATGTTAGGTAAATAGTCCACTAAAATCCCTATACATCTTTCGATTTGCACGAAATTTGGCATAGCGTACTGAATTAAGTCTAGAATGATGTGTGCAAAGTTTCGTGAAAATCGGTTCAGATTTAGATATAGCTCCCATATATAAATTCATCCGATTGTAGACAAAAGGCCGACTTTACTACTTTCCTTAATGGTTTTTAATGATGAACAACCTAAAAAAAGAATTTAAATTTGTTTTGAATCTAATGTGGTACACATTCACTTCGAAATTTGGCACAGCGTAATGGATTAGGTCTAGAATGATGTATGTTAAGTTTCCTGAAAATCGGTCCAGATTTAGATAAAGCTCCCATATATATTTTCGTCCGATTTATGGTAAATGGAGCACCAAAGTCCCTATGTATCTTTCGATTTGCACGAAATTTGGCACATGTCACTTTTTTGGAATTTCCCTACGGATGTAGTTGTAATTTGGCATTTGAGGTTTCGTAAGGGTAAAAATGTCTATTCAGACATGTCGGACATGTCTGCATCGACTCAGCTAGCAATGACCATCGGTACACTAAAAGGTGGGTATAATACCAATATTTCATAGTTGGGTAGGGTATAAGTAGACAGTATATTTATTAACTCTACATTCAATTTTTAAAACATTGTATTATTTGAAGAAAG